AACGCGATTTTTGACTAACTCCGAACTTGCATTTTTTTACTAAAAAAAAAATCTGATTAAAAAGTTAAAAATTTTGATGAAAATTTTCTGAATTTTCGCGAGTTTTGCACAAAGTTTAGGAATTATATTTTTATGTTTTTTTTTGTTGAATGAACCAAATTTTTATACAAAAATTGGCGAAAAAATATTAGAATAAAAATTGTTGCATATATTGTAAAAAATTTGCTGTGCCAATACTGTGTTCCGGCAGTGTATGAAAATTTGTTAGGGACATAGTGATAAAATAAAGCACATATTTTGTCCCAAAGGGAATATTCTAATTTTTTGGAATGACATCTTATGCTATTAAATGTCAAAGTAAAAAAATATCTGCGATTAGCGTTTCCCTTGCCATAAAACTGACAGATCGCCAGCGACTCAAAATAAATAAGAATATTTTGTTCTTAATGATTATTCCGGATAACCAGAAAATATATCTGTTTTTGTATTATTTGTTGAATCTGTACGATCCACAAGCAGTTGTATTTCCAGATCTAATTTTTGAGTTGTGCCTCTTTTGAAAAAGGTGTGCGATATGTAAATACATACGTACAAACATAAATATGAATATGTACATATAAGTATATGTATGTATGTGCTCTTATGTTTTGTACGAGCGCTTTCTTGGTGGGTAAATCTAATCTCACGTGATTGTGCATAGTGCGAAGAAATGGCAGTTCAAATATTGCAGAGAAATTCATCAAAATTGTAAATGAGAACGGCGCAGATTTGAGAGAGCTGTTGCGATTGATTAAGTCAGAGCTGTCAGTTGGGGTTGCATTATATGGGTTGCATTTTTAACTCATCTTGTGAAATGTACTAAACTATTGCATCATCATTTACTCTACTCACTAAAAATTTCAATGTTCCAAGCAGTGCACGGACTTAGAGAAAACTAATTTTTAAAACTAAGATTTTACATTAAAATATCGGTAGAAGTTAGTAAATTTTTTTAAAGAAACAATATCAAATAGGTTTTACTCAAATAGGATAAAATAGGGCGAATTCATAAAAGATGGTGTTACCAGCCGAGGTTCTTAATGTCTAAATTATGATTTTTTTATAATTCTTACTGGCATTGTACGTAAAATTTTTCAGTTAAATTTTTGTTTATGAATTCAATATGAAATCAAATGGAAGGTATCTTAAAGATCCTTAATTCAAAAGGGTTGCCACCTATTTTGAATCGCCTATTTATTTAATTTTTTGTAAAATATTACTATTCATAGGTACCAAGAGAAAGTTCTTAAACAATGCTTTCCCTATATAAAAAATGTTATCCCTTAGAATAATAGTGTAAGGTTGCCAGTTATTTTCCATTCTACACAATTTATCTAAAACATAGCGTTATCTACAGCAACACAATATGGATATCAAATGAAAGGTATTGTTGAGAACTTTGGTCAGAAAATATTGCCACGCTTCTATGTAATACTAATTTTTATTTTGTTAATTTCAATCAGATTTTTTTTAGGTATACACTGTACACATACGCTCAAGAAATATACCATTCATTCCTGCGTATTTCGGGTCAGGGTTGCCACCTAACTTTTGTAGTAAGAAATTTACATAATAGATATCGAGATCCAATTTTTATTATTTTTTTTCAAAATATTTTTTTAAAGCTATTCAATCAAAACAACAAAAATTTATTTCATGAGAATAAAATATTCAACAAAAAACCTATACCTACATAAAAGTGGCCCCAAGCATCCATTGTCGAATAAAACTCGATTCGAATCGAATGAAATCAAATTACAGAGCTGTTTTTGCTCCTATTAAATTTTAATTGAAAAAGCGAATTCACTACCGAATGCTCAAGAAGAATGGTAGAAAATATATAGTTAAAAACTTGGTAGATCTACCAATAAAGTGGTAACGTCCGTACACTTGTTCCAAGTATTCTCATTCTCAAACAAACATATATACATACATACATATGTACATTCGATTTTGTATACAAACGGCATTACATATATTTGCGTGCCAAATTTCTACGTAAGCAAATGCTTAGCTTACTAAAGAGCTAGAAGTGAGCCGTAAACTTCAAAAACTTTGCTCAGCAACAGATAACCCAAAACCAATGTCCGCAAGTCAACTTGTTAGCGTACGTAGAAGTTGAAAATTAATACATTTCTACATATTTACGTATGTTTGTATATTCATCATGCACGTACCCAAGAGGAGTTTGGGGTTGAAACCCCAGTTGGTTTTTAAAATAATTAAACTGAAATTGAACGGCTTTCAAAAGAGAATCAGCACTCATATTCAAGTGAAGCTTTATTTTAAGTTAAACTTAAAGTTATATCGTGAAATTCATACCATATCGTTACCTTAATACAGAAAGGCCATATCTAAAATTTATTATGTCTTTACAGTGTAGCCACGGTTGCCAACCGTCCCATTTTTGGCGGGCCTGTCCCCGTTCCCGGTGCAATACATGCCGGGACGCAAAATGTCCCGGGTTTTTGCAAGAAAACTATTTTTACATCTCATTGTAAAAATTTAAAACTCTTTAAATATTACCATTTTAAATATTCTATTTACTAATCGACACTATACGCCGTATAGTTAAAGCAAAATTTGTAATTCTGTCCCGGTTAAAATGAGTGAAGCAGTATGTATGTTCGTTATTTTTTGTTACTTTGTAAGAAACTATCTTAGCCTTCGTAATATAAGTCCTGCCAATGTTGGACAGTATTACCACTAAAAGCAGGTAATTTTGTCAGCACCAAAGTCTTCATTCACATTAAAAGTTGACTTAAAAAGATAACGCATTTGAAAACATTACTGCGAGTATTAGTATTAGTTCATATTTATTTTCCCTTCACATATTTTACCCATTTTTTAATTTATATATCGATGGTTGAGCGGAAGATCGCCCCATCTCGGCAGCCAGTTGGAAAACGACTTATCTTAGAAAATTTTTTGAAAACGACGCGGGACGCTCTTGAAAAGTTTTCTGAGATACGGCGTTTTCAAACTGACTTCCATTCAGCCATCGATATTTTATTGTATAGTTTTCGCTTTTCTTACTGCTTTTTTTCTTTCTGTTCCTTATATTTCCACTTTTAATTTTTTATGATTATTAAAATCAATGCGATTTTTTAGCACCTTCAAGCTTGCACTTTGTTGTACTAAAATTAGTTGAGCTATAAAACTGCATACTTAGAATTCTTGTAAAAAAATCTGAATAGAAAGTTGCAAATAAGTATGCAAATTTAATGAATTTTCCTGAGTTTTGCACAAAATTTAGAGATTTAGTTTTTATGTTTTTTGGTGTAGGACGAACTATATATTTATAATAAATTATCGAAAATAAATTAGAATAAAAGACTTTTCAGATATTGCGAAAAATTCTCTGTGCCAATACTTTTGTCCGGCACTGTATATATTGATCAAAAAAGGATTACCTCGTCTTTCTGGCGCGAAAATTCAAGCAAACCCCAATAACAAATATACTTGTAATAGTTAAAAATAAATGTCCTCAGGTAAAATTAATTAGTGACAACCAGTCACTTATAACAGTTCAGTAAAATGAGACCTCAAACTTCAAGTTTTCTTTTGGGAGACAAAGGCTACCTTCATAAGATGAAAGCTAATGATCCACTTATTAACATATTAAAATGTTGCGTTACCCACATCCCAGGTAGGTACATGAAATATTTGCAAATGTACATATGCATTTTTGTAATCAATACCTAAGCGTTTCGCGCGATTGAGATACAATTTAGATGAGTTTCTTCCAGTATTTATAGATATTGAAATCAAAAAGACAGAGTTAAGAAACTGTCGCACCGATTTTTCGAATATTGGTACCATCCTCCCTCATTGTACAAGTAGAATATGATGTCCTCATTTTGAACAAGAAATACCGTTTGGAAAAAAGGCAAAACTTTTTTGAGCATAAGATTTGAATATACTTTTTTTGCGATTCTCGCGTGATGATGTACATATGTATGTATGTACATCGGTTAAGATTAAGAAAAGCCGCAAACTTAGAATTATCAAAAAATATATAAATATGTATGTCTGGCTATCTCTACCTCCCAGTTAAACATCATCATCGACGATTTCGACATCTTGCATATAATACGCGATCGATAAAACTGTCGTTGTATTTAAACGGAACTTCTACCTCCGATTGGTGTTAACCAGACATTGAACTACCGGCCCTAGAAAAGCAAGTATATATAACCCCTTATGCTCATATACCCGCAGTTGCGTATGTAACGTATACGCCTCGTAGCACCATTCATATTTATCTACATGCCGGCTTAACTTAAAAGTTATATTATTTAAAAGTAATTAAATATTGGCGTAGGAGATTTTTACAAAGTATTCCCAATGTACTACATATATGTATATTACTTTCTTCATGTATATGACAATTTTAGAATGCGTTTCGAGCTTGCCAATAAAAACAGAACAAATGTTATAACCTCTGAAGCCCATTTTTTGGTCTAAAAGCCCAGATTTTGAGAGTCATTTGTTTATTGACGAAAAAGTAAATGCTTTTTTCTGGGGTTTTTGGTTTTTAATTTTAGAGATTTTCGAGAAAACTTGGCAATTTTAGGAAATTCGTGTATTTCGGATGTACCAAAAAGCAATAACAAAATATACGGGATTTTTACTTATATGCAATTGCAACTACCTTATATGGATGGTTGCGCCTTGGCCCTAACGAATAATCAATTCCCTTGATTCACTATAACATGGAGCTAACTACGCCACTGTCAACCGCCATTCAGCAGATATTTCATAAGCATTTTTGTGTTTGCTTATATCTATACCAGAGAGAGCAGCCGATGGCTCTCGCATACTTTTATGTACATATATTTAATTTACGTTTTTCTTTAATCCAGCACACACACGCACTCGTACAATGAAAAACATGTCTCTTTCTGCATCCGTTTGACCCCCCAAATACTCTGCCGCTTCTGGCTTATTGTGACGACAGCAAAACTGCCTTTCATATTCAGGCGCAATACTACCCGCAGCTGACGAATTCATTAACAGCCTTCATCGACGGCGAGTTGTGCACGCTGTTTGCTCTTAGTTACAAATTTATATTCAAGGTGTACAAAACGTAAAAAGCTAAATATTCGCAAATCTGCTTACTAAAATTGTTAAACACAAAGCAACGTCAATCTACGCCAAAAAAAAAGCGATAATACCAAAGTTCAAGTCTAACGAATGCAAAGTCGTTTGCAGTTAAAAATTGTGTTTTGTGGTATATTCGAATCAGCTGTGCAGTGCATTTGCTGAGTTCGTTTAACTGTTCATTCTTCAGATAAAAACGCGTAAAATCTCTCAAGTGAAATTAAGTAAGAAATTACCAACAGCCAACGTACATATACGCCTATGCATACAGTATAATATTTATGTAAATTTCAATTCTAACCTCAAAATAGTATATGAGATTTTTGTGCTTGTTTAAAACGCGCTTAACGATTTTTTGTGGTTTATATCTATTATTTTGTGTGGAGGAAAAATACCACACCCCGCGACGAATAAAAAATACAGCTTGAATTTTTAATATCAATTGGAAACGTATCAATGGCATCACCGGCCTGTGAACATCGCTACAAGGATTTCATTTTCATAAATAATTAAATTTCGTTTCTGTGCCGGTTAAAATAAAATCAAACCTCTCAGTTTTTACTAAGAGAATTTTTAAAGTGAAGTGCATACTTAAATAAGCGATTTAATTCCTGCGATAGACGCAATCAAACTTAAAATTTGTTTAAAAATAAATATCTGTTAAAGATAATATTGTGGAATATTCTGTGTGAAATCCAAGTGCCAGGCCCACTGTAAGAAAGATATTACTTAAAAAAAAAAAAAAACAAAACACAAAGCATACTTTTTGGCATTAAATATCGTACACGCGCCTTCAAACACACAACATTTCGCACACGTTTGCAAGTGAAGCGAGCGGCGGTACCAAATTAAAAAAAAATAATAATTTTAAACCAAAAAAAAAATATTTTGAAATTGCAACCAACAACGTGTTGAGCTCCGCTACTACCGCACTTATTTACTACTACTCCAGTGCTATGCACCATTCGCGTTCGGTGGCGCAACTAAAACAACAACAACACCGTACTTGGCAGCGCGACTATCGCGCCTTCATTCGTATGTGTGCGTACTATTGGCACCGTTCCATAGTGGGCAACAGCACCGGCGGCGATACGTACACGCCCACCCCCCATACACCCATTCATCCGCATACGCAACACTTTATGTTGAACTTGCAAAAGCATTTGCTAAAGCGTAAAAGTATTTTGTGTATGAACATTAATTGGCGCAATTTAGCAGTTATAATTCACAAGCTAAATACGACTAACAAATTTAAGTTTGATAAGTTTAGTAAGAAGAACTTTCGAATGGTAGACGGTGTAATGGGTACGTGTATGACGTCATCGATGATGCGGCATTGCATCATGATGCTTGGTAAGTAAATGCGCATGCCCCTGAAAATTTCTAACCTATATAGATATGTATGTATTTGGTATTGCCAAAAATGCGAGAAGATTTTACTCGCCGGGAGATGGTGATGGCAATAAGTGTTGCCGCACAGTGGTCAAGGAAACCATTTTTTACGCGAAAAAGGCATATTTTAAAACTGCAATAAATTAACCGGAATAAAGCTATTCTTAAATCTTCAGAAATGTCCAACGAACTCAAAACTGATTAGTATTTTCAGTAATCTGCTGAGCAAGCCGTTGAATCCGTTTAATTCAACCAATTCAATCGTGGCATGTTCTAATAGTTATGAAATGATGTATTTCTTAACAATTTTTTATGGAAACCTTCATTTATAACAGTAATTGTTGGTTTGGTGTTACATCTTAAACATGGAAAATAATGATTGCTAAATTATCAACACCTTAATTATTATCAACACCTTATTTTTCAACAACTATTTTCTTTAAAAAGGTATAACTAATTAGTAGTCCCTTTAAGTATCTACGAAAATAAAATCCGCGCATACTCGCGCCAAAAAGAGTGACGTCCATTTTTATTTCACTAGACCAACTTTAGCAGTTGTTTCAAATGCCATAAAGTGTATTAAAATATTACAGATTAATGTAATTTAACGAAACTGAAGTAAATATTCAAAAATCCAATAACGAGGCCAACATGGCATCCAAGAATTTAAACAATTACTGAATTTTAATGAAATCTGGTATTTAGTGGTTCTTAAGTTCGTTCGCTCATTACAAATTTCAAACTAAATTTAATTACTGTTATTATTTTATAATTTGCTCCCTCGTATTTTATAAATCAAATTTTGCTAAACAAATATATTGTGTTACTCAACTGAAAATGACAGTTGATTCGAGGGTTGCCAACAGAAATTGTTTGAATGTGATACAGAACCCGAGACCAGTGAGCCTTAAAACATAGTACGTTTAATGCTTTGGAAATTTTCCTTTTAAGGCTTTAATTTGACGTAAGCGTAGCATGTCTAAACCCCTCATCGGTAGCTCCTAAAAAATACTTTCTTATTTTTAGATAAACTAAGTTTATTTGACAGCTGTCAACTCTTAAAGTTTCAATTTAGCATAAAATTCGTGATCACTATGTCTAAAATCCTAATCAGTGGCATTTTCAAAAACATTGTCTTATTTTTAGAAAAATGCACAGTCCATTTGACAGCTGTCAACTGTCAAGGTTTTAGTTTGACATAAAATTTGTAACCAGCGTGTCAAAAAACGTAATCAGCGGTATGTTCAAACAGATTTTCTTAATTTTAGAGAAATTGACAGTGGATTTGACAGCTGTCAATTGTCAAACTATACATTTTATGGCATGTTCGGATTATAACAACACTACGATCCCGCAGTTTTATAATAATCGTAAGAGCCCTACTAATTTTTCGCGTAAAACATGGCTTCTCCGACCACTGTGTGCCGCTTAAAAAAGGTATCTTCCAACGTTTAGAAAATGCACTGAGTACAATTCTATCCATGACATTTAACTCCTCTTTGCCTCTCGATGTCTCGATCAAAGGATATTTTGAAATATTAAAAGGAAGATCCCTACCTTGGAGAGCAAAGACCCAATAATTCAATGACCTGCCTCCATTTTTCCTCCGACTACAAGGCTCCTAATGGAAACGTCTAGATAATAACTCGATATAAAATGATGGGTGATACTACAACAAAAAGTCTAAAAACTGGAGTTCCATCTTATCTGCAAACTTGCATTAAAATTTTGCATCCCCTAATTAGACGTTTTAGAAAAAAATTGTAGTACGCTGTTTTGTAACCCATTGAATTTCAGCGGATTTTCCTCCACCAAAAAAAATTAGAGCGCTCATTATACTAAAATTCAATGGACATACTCAAAAGGGCTATTAAAGAGTAGATATAAGCATTGGGGGAAAAAAATAATCTTTTTACTCTTTTGTGATAAAAATATATATTAGACTCAAAAAATACCTAAAAAAGTAGACTTTTATGAGTAAAACAGTTTCTTAAATAACTTAAAAAAAAACCTCCTCATATGACAAAACGGATTAAGCTTAAAAAATCTGCATAAAACTATTTAAAAATCTTTTCAACGGAATCGTAATAATGAGATTTTTGATGCTGTTTTTTTTTTACTTTTTTCAAAAATTTATTTACGATAAACTTGAATAACTAGGCCCTAGCTACTCTGCTTTAGACTTATGTGATCTCAGTAAAAAGGCATTTTCTCACTCTTTTTATTTCGGTGCACAAAAAAGCTCATTCACACCCCATTGCTTTTCCGAATACCTACACATCTTAATTCAACTTGGAATGATGCTCGTTAATCCTAACTTTCTCTTTCATCCTTTGAATGAGTTCATTAGCAAATAAATAAAAAGCGTGAGAAAATACCTTTCCAATTGTACCCCGCAAGTCTAAATCGGAATAATTAAGGTTCAGTTATTGAAGTTTTTCTTTTACCAACCATTGAAAATATTCAAAAAAAAAAAAACATCAATGATCTCATTATTGCGAACCCGTTGAAAAATTGTTTACATTTTTTTTTTACATATTTGTATGCAAATTTTTTAAACTTAAAATGTTTAGACATTTGAGGAGATTTAAAAAAAAAAAATCTTTAAGAAACTATTCATAAAAAACTCCACTTTTGGAGGTATTTTCAAATCGGTTCAGCTCACGTAAGTCTTGATATTTTTCCGAAATATTTTGGTGGAATTCTTAAAATATAATAGATTTTAGAATTCCAATGGAAACACAGTACTGTTTTTTTTTATGGGGAATGATGCACATATATGTATGTACATATTTTGAAAAAATTTACCATGTTTCTCATGACACAGTTTTGTTTTTTCAAAAGTATTTACGGATTGTAAGTTACCTATAGATAGCTTTTGGATAAATCTGTATACTGAAACCGTTATGAACCATTTATGTTATAAAAATTACTTACAAAAAAATGTATGTAATTTCTGTGTTGGCCATTTCGTAGTATTTTGTTTCTTTATAAAAAAAAATTATGTAAAAGGTGTTGTTTGTTCAATATATATAAATCCATTTTGGGGACCCAATTACAAATGAAATAGATATGAGAGTAGTTTTTTATACTAAAGATTATTAAAGCCTCTCATAATAAGCCCAGCGAATTCAGCGAATTTAGGCCAATAAACATTCGAAAACACTGGAGAAAAATCCGGAGAGCCACATCTGCTATCCAAAGCCAAACACGCCAAGTGAAATGGTGGATGCACGGAACCACTCTTTTTCTTTGGTTCCAATAGTTAAGAGATCCTAAAGAAAACTCCTTGATAGCAATCCTCAATATAGCGTATTGCCGAGCGAAGTTACCTCAGCCATGACGGCTCTTCGAAATCCAGATACACAAGTATTCACCTGGTTGAACTCTTTCCCCAACTGTTCAACGTAAGCATAGTGAGTTCGCAACTGGGGACCGTACTGATTTGCAGGAGAGTCAATGTGTACATATGTAGGTGAGAGAATATAACAATGAACCAACTGTTGCAGCTTCTTCTGCTCCCCATTTTTCGATCGATCGACAAACTTTTCGAGGAGCCTGGAGACAGCTCTTCGTTCCCGACTGGGGACTGGCACAATTTTAGGACACATTTATATAGCAAGCCACTTGCTAAAAAGGAGACACCCGTTTGCAGCAAAGTAAGAAATTAATTTTATTCGGGAACCAGCTTTGAAATCCAGCGGAGAATGACACTTTTCATTTAGACATTTAGGAGGTAAAGTCTTCTCCCATAAGCTTTATTAACCTCGTTCTTTTGATATTGATTGTAATACTTAATTTTTCTTATCAATTTACTTAAAGTGAATTTTTAAAACAGGTGGAAGATCTTTATTTTTTTATCAAACGAATCAAAAAAAAAAAAAAAAAAAATATTCAAATCGGTCAAGCCGTTTTCGAGTTTTAGCGAGACTAACGGACTTTTTACATTCATTTTTTTTTTTTTATTGAGGCCATGAGAGTCAGAGTAGCCTAGCTACATTTTTGAAAAAGTAGAGGTGTTACAGATAAAGTTTACTTTAAAAGATATTGCTTATTGCCAGAGAAACCACATTTTAGTGTTCTCATTGTGTAATACACATAGTTAGCAACAGCTATCTGGAATAAAACTATTGGATTTTACCCAAAAAATGCTAACATAATAGGTTATTTTATAAGCTCTTGTATACTCTGTCCTCTCCTCTGAAATTTGGTTTTGTAGTGGAGAGTATGAAAAATGAGGTTTTTATTTACACTTTCCGGATATAATCTATTAGAGGAAAAGTAATTTTAAAGCAAAAAAAGTTGGAGACGCTATTATAAAAGACAATTGCAAAACTTATAAGAATACATCTTCCAATCCTTCCTTCAATCAACACCTTCAGACGAATAGCTCGAGTTACTTCGTGAGGCCCACGATACTTTGACATAACTCCATTCTGGATATTGTAACAGGTTCAACAGTTCAGTCTAATTTGAATGAGATACCCGTCGACACTAGCCATCACATCATATGCCCGCTCACATCAGTTCATCTAACATCCTTTTCCCTACGTTGGATCTGGCCTTTTTCTGAGCCTCCCTTAGATGAGAATGGAGACAACATGTTGTCGATTCACTGATTTAGACAGATTTCAGTAAACTGCTACAACAAACAAAAACATTAAATTTTAAGTCATTTTCTATAGAGGAAAATTGTTCAGTATTCCGATAAAAAATTATTCAAACTGTTCTAAGTAGTTCCGTTTGCAAAAAAAAAAATTTCTTTTAATAATAAATTTTTAAGAACTAGGTAAAAAACCCGGTTTATTCGATTGTAAAAATCCGGTTGACTCGGCATTCGAAAATCAACATTTCAAAAAACCGCCTAAAAATATTTAAAAAAACTGAGCCAGTCACCCTAGTATTTACAATATGCAATATGAATAACATGCGCACAAAAAAAGTTTTATTGCGATCTCTAAAACGGGGA